GCAAAGAGAGGTAACTGGGGCCAAGGTACTTTACTAAAAGATTTTTTTTATGTTTGTTTGTGTTTGTTTGTGTTTTATGAGAATATTGGGGAAATTATTGTAGAAAGACAGGGAAAGATTCAATATGTAATGATTTGTTTGTTGTTGAAACTTTTAATAAAACTTGTTTTAAAAAAAAAAAATAAATTACGAGCAGAATGAAACAAGAGCTCAATTAAACCCGCGGATATCTGTGGAAGTGAAACAAGGTTTCTGGGGGATGCGTAGGTTATATTCCTCGTGGGGAAAAGCACCAGTTTGCTCGCAAAGAGAAGAGGCTTCCCCGGAAGGAAAAGCGAAGCTCCTTTGCTCCCGAAGGACGCTTGGATTTTGCAGCCTGGCAATAGCTGAAAACACCTGGTTCTCAGGTAATTCAGGTCCTCCAATGGACGAGGCCTACCCATCCTCTCCCACCTGCAGGACCATGACTGATAGGGACACCTGGAACCCAGAAAGGATGACAAATCTGACCGAGGGACCTCAGGAACAGCTAGACTAGCCATGCACGGAGGCCGCTTATGGGTGCAGGTAGGGGAAGTGCAATCATCACAACTTCAAAACTGGGGTTTGGGGGGTGGTCTATTGTAACTTTGCCGTTAAGCAAGTGGCTGTAAGATAAGGACTATTTATATGGCTGGCCAGAACAGTCTCTGGCAGCTGCACCCAATCTTGGCCGCTTTTAAGATCGGTGGACTTCCAACTCCCAGGATTCCTCAGCCAGCCAAAGGGATTCTGGGAGTTGAAGTCCGCAAGTCCTAAAGAGGCCAAGGTTGGAGACTCCGATGCTCCCCGCTATCAGCCTGACCCTTCTTCTCCTGGGCCTGCACCCAACACCCACCTGGGCTGTTGTTTCAACAATGGGATCTTACCTTTTTGACGTCTTTGTGCAGGTACTTGGCAGTCTGCTTGGCCAGCTCAGTTTTACCTGTTCAGGAGGCAAGAGCAGGAGGTGTGAAGAGGAGGAAGGCTCCCAGGTACACTACAAAATGCAGGTGGCCCTCGGCTTACAACCACGATTGGGTTATGTGTCCCTAACTGTGAGGGCATAGCACACCTGTTGGCAACCATAGCACAATAGCCTGCTGCTGGTGAAAGTCTACCACGTTTAGATAGTGGTTGCCACGATATATTAAAAAAAAAAAAACAACGTTGAGGTTTTGGAAAGTGTGTGGAGAAGAGCAACTAAGAGGATTAAAGGCCTGGAGACTAAAACATATGAAAAACAATTGCAGGAATTGGAAAAGAAGAACTAGGGGTGACATGATAGCAGCATTCCAGTATTTGAGGGGTGTCAGAGTATATTCATGAACTGGAATAGAACCTGGCAACTAAATCAGCCAATGAAGACTGTTTGGAAACTGAAACTAGAAGTAGCCAAGGTGTGGCTCTATGTTAAGCTCTGCAACTATGTTAAGCTCTGAGTCTGTCTATTGAAGAGGGAACTAACTTGCTTGCTTGCTGAAGACTGGGGCTCTGCTCTGAACTTGCAACTTTTTTTTCTGTTTGAGTTTGCTCCACGTTGGAGAAATCTACAACTGGTTTGTAAAATCTACTTATGTTTATAAAGATGTGAAATGGAAGCATCAGCCACCTGGGTTTATTTTTCTGGCGCTGAATTAATGCTGCAAAACTCTTAACAAGGGGCTGCCCGAAAGAAGAGGGGGTCAAGCTATTTTTCCAAAGCCCCTGAAGGCAGCAGAGGAAACAACGGATGGAAACTAACCAAGGAGAGAAGCAACCTGCAGTGAAGGAGGAATTTCTGACAGTGAGGACAATTAACCAGTGGAACAGCTTGCCACCAGAAGCTGTGGGCGCTGCAACCCTGGAAGAGATTGGACAGCCATTTGTCCAGAATGGTATAGGGTCTCCTGCCTGAGCAGGGGGTTGGACTAGATGACCTCCAAGTCCCTTCCAATTCTTTTGTTCTGTTGTTATTTTTAGGGTTTTCATCGCTAAGCAAGGCAGTTGTACCTGATTTTATGACCTTCCCCCACCCCCCCAGGGTTGTTAAACCAACCGCTGCTGATTAAGAGAATCGCAGGATTTCTCCCACTGACTTTTGCTTGTTGGAAGCTAGCCGAGAAGGTCGCCAACGGATCAGGCCAGGAATGCTGGTTTAAGAAGCAGCTTTCCGTACTGCGATGATCTTGAGACAAGGAGCAGTGAATGCCAGGGAGCCCAATATTCTTTGAGAACTGGATTTATATGCAACCCTGGTCATAAAAGTCTAGGCACGAGACGATTAATAATTCAAAATGTATACTGCAAAACAAATCTATTTTGATATGTACCAACAGGCAGGGCCGCTCAATGAGAGATGGAGAGCTGTTCCTGGCCAGGTGTATCTCTGCAAATAGCTGATATTCTGGCAGTTGTCCCAAAGGTGAAAGCACCTTTGAGATTTATTTACTATTTATGGATTATGAGGTTTTTTTTTCCTTTCTACTGTAGTTATTTGACCCTAAGCAGCCTATAAACAACAACGTGCAAATAGGTAATATTAGAACAATTCAGAAAAAAAAACAACCCAGAAATTAACAATCTATCAAAAAATGTATTATGAGACCTCCAGAGGGAAACATCAGGGAATTTCTTTTTCTATTTTTTAAATTTTTCTTTTATTATTTGTATAGCTGCCCAATTCAACCAAGGAACTCTGGAAGGCTTCCAATCCACAAACTATAAAAATTTAAAACCATAAAATGATAAATTTTTGCTGCTATTGGGTTTTTTCCAGCACCCTCAATGGTTGCAGCGTCCCAGGGGTCATACGATCCTTTCTGTGACATTCTGATAAGTCAGATTCATTTAACAACTACGGCGAGGTCGTAAAATGGGACGCAACTCACTTAACAACTGCCTTTGCTTAGCGATGGAAATTTGGCGATGGGCTGTGGCTGTAAGTCCAGGACTGCACGAATTCTGTAGGTAGGGATTCCTGAGGGAGGCTAATATATCTGTCGGTGGGAGGGAAATTTATCGTTTTATCCTGCTCCATCTGGATTAATTTGGATTTCTTGGCTCCTCAGGAGGATCCACTTTCTGCAATCTGGATTCATGGAATTAGAAACTGAGAGGGGTGTGTGTGTGTGTATGCAATCCAGGCCAGTGATTCTCAACCTTGGCAGGGGGCTGAGGAATTCTGGAAGTCCCCGAGTCTTAAGAGGGGCCAAGGTCGGACACCTCTGCCTTAAACCGACATGCATCTCCTCACCCCGAGGTTTTTTTTTTTCACCGTCCCGTGGACGACAATCTCCAGGTTAAACTCAGGTAGCCTCCAGGAGCGGAGAAGCCCCACCCACCCTGGAGTGGCAGTGCAGCTATGGAGCCCATCCAAGATTTGGTCTGTTGTCACTGGGGTTGGGTGGTGGGTTTTACTTCTGTGAGCCTTGTGGAGTTACCAGGAGTGGGTGGGTGG